CAAAATTTCTCCCCAGTATGATTCGTACTCGTGTTGTTTTTTTCTATGCAACGAATGCTATATAATTGCGATTCAAGACTTCAACTCCAGACTAACGATTTGGATGTTAGTATGAAATACATGTACTCTTGCACGAATAAAGAAAGCCACACGATTTGCGGTATTGTTTATTTCTACTGTTACGAATCCGAGGTATAAATTGTTTTCTCAAAAAATTCTTTGAGTGTCTTGAAATTCGAAACTTGAGCCTCGAAACTCGATTCTTGATTCTCGAAAGCATCGACCACCAAAATATACATACATAATTATACGTCCTTTTCAATCATAATGTAGAAAAAAAAACCTGCCGCTGGTTTAACAGTCTTGGATCATGTGTACTAAAGGCATCCACAGTCAAGTGTCAATGGATACCCTCGATCTATACCCTCAATTGACCCTTGATGGATACTCGATCAACACCTCAGTTGACACTCCAGCAACACTCCATTGACATCTCGGTCAACAGTTGGTCGAAAGTCGACTAATTTTCAATCGATGCATATGAGTAGGTCAACATTCAGCCAACTATCCATCAACTGTTGATCAAGTGTCAATCGAGTGCCTTCCGAGTATCATTCGGGATGTTTATTGAGATGTCGATTGAAACCATCGATCGACACTTGAACGTGGATACTTTTCGTACACATGATCTAGAGTCTTTTGATGGTGGTTTTTCTCTGTAACCAATCAGATTTTTACAAGTAACTTTGCCACTAGTTGGCCACAAGGTCTGTGTTGCCAGTTAACATATTAATTAATTGGATATATATGTGATTTTTAGAGTACTGGGATAATCAATGTTTTGTCATCTCTCAACTTCATTATGACTCCTCCCCCACCCACAAAGCCCCTACCCTCGACCAAATAGGTAAATTAGCAAAAATGAGCATGTGACATTACAGTTGACCACCGATAACTCGAACCCCCGGCTAACTCGAAGTAATTTCATTCCCTGCAGGCCATTTTCTATATAATTTTACCCTCGATAACTCGAACCTTTTACTACTTCCCTTGAAGGTTCGAGTTATCGGGAGTCGACTGTATTTCTGTCTACAAATCCAAACTTGCTGTCTCCAGTAGCACACTATACTTGACACTAGCTCATATAGTTCAGGATACGTTTGTTTGATTCGTCCCTTAAACCCCTGTAGATCAGAGCGAAGAAAGCACTCTGCACCGAACGACATGTTGAGATATCTCTTCCTCTCAGACACAATCAACAAAGTCAGGGTGAGGCCTGGCTACATAGCTTCACCGCTGACCAAATTCATGTTGGGCTCACAAATAAGATGGCGGTAGAAGATGGCGGGTTTTCTTTTCTCTGACGCTTTGCGGTTTTAATTGCTTATTTTCAGCTATTTAGGAATGGCAATGGATATTCTTGAATGTGAATGGGGCTCATGTGAAGAAAAGTTTCGTTTGTCAGACTTTCACGACTTCAGAGAGCATTTTGAGGGGCATTTAAGGGGAATTTTACCAGGATATCGACGAGGATTTTCCGACGACACCATCCCGGATAATTTTTCGTGCTATTGGCGAGATTGTGGTTGGGATTCACCCATTGATGCCGGCGATTTGATTCGCCATGTTTTCTTCCACGCTTTTCACGCCAGGATAAAGCTTGAAGGCTACAAAAAGCAACAAGAAATGAAACTGGCACCTTGTACTTTGGACAACCAGAGCCGAAATTTGCTGCCGGATATTCCCGAACCGTTTCTTTGCGAGTGGAGAGAATGCAGCGTGGAGTTTAACTGTCCAACGCTCTATTACAGACACGTAGACAGTCATGCATGGGCCGTGGATAAGACTTTGAAGGAAACAGGAGAAAATGGAAAGAAGAAATACTCTGTAACCTGCCAGTGGGAAGGTACAGTGTACATGTAAATTAAAATAACAGTAAATTAAAATCCTCGGTCTTAAAGGTCGTTTCACACCAAGGGACTCTGGAGCAATTCCCTTGAAGAGTTTTCACGAGGGGACTGGTTGAAGGGACCTTTGTTCTGTTTACACAAGGGGACCTATTCTGTAGGAACATAGCAAAATCCTAGGGCACAAGCACAGGCGACCCAAGCTGTAATTTTTTTTCACTCTGCGAAGTACAAAAAGCAAAACTGAAATAATTTATCATAAAACCAAGAATAATAATGAAATAAATACACCTAAACATATGTTGTTTATCTAAGTTATTCAGTGCATGTTACACTGTAGTTCTGATTTTGATTATGTTTTTTTATGTATCTGGATATGACTGACGAAGAAGCAAACTAGGGTCAAGAATTCTGTCAAGGTCTTCAACACACATGTGAATGACTGCAAAACTGTTTTTTTTTTCTCCACTGGTGGGAAAATCAAGATCTAATTTCATCTATAAGAAAAAAATAAACACTGATCTGTGATTGGCTTATTTTCATTTGGATGCAAGACTTGTCCCACAGACAATTCACATGCTGGGTTTTGAGGGACAAGACTTGTGGAACAAGACCCTGGGACTTCTCCCTTCAATTCAAACTGTCTCAGTCATTTGCTAGACATCTTCTCAATCGAAACTAAAACTAACTGGATATAAAAATCCATGCCTCATTCCCAAACACTGCACTGTCACATTTGTGATTTCGTTTGCTTGAACATAGCAAATTATGACTGAGTTTGAGAATCCTGATTTATTAAATAGCTGAAATTCTAACAAGAATCTTTCCCATAAATAAAATATATTTTCTTTACCATGGCATAGAAAATGGACACGACATGACAATGATTTGCAGTAAGCATCCAAATCTTTGTGCAAAACATCAATGTTATTTTTTTAACTGCTTTTATTTCTTTTAGGATGTAATTTTACAACTGTAAATCACTACAAGCTGAAGGAGCATTGCCGAAGTCATACAAGAGAGAAAATTTTTGCCTGTATGACTTGCGGTGGTATGTTTGCAAACAAGGCAAAGTTTGTAGACCATGTGGTGCGACAGAATTCTTCTGGGTGTAAGTGGTTTTTCATCAAAGTTTTTCATTTCATGCATTCTCTTGATTTTAATGGCATCTTTGCTATTTACTTTATTGTAGATGAAAGCTTTCAGTGTTCACATTGTTTGAAGCACTGTGGGTCGGAGCGTATCTTGCGAGATCACATGCGACACCATGGTATGTTACAAATGGTAGTATTGTATATGTATAGTATGATGGCTTTGACAAATGTGTTGTTATCAATTGCCTCGGGAAATCTTTCAAGGATGTTTGTATAAATAAATTACAATATTAGAGAGGAAGCTTCATCAGCCTTAGCTGGTTCTCATGTGGGTCTTCTATCCTGGTGGAATTGGAATTTGAAGATGTTGATTTTGTGGAGGGAGGAAAACTGGAGAACCCAGAGAAAAACCCTCAGAGCAAGGCGAGAACCAACAACAAACTCAACCCACATAATTATAGCATCGGGCAGGAATCAAACCTGGGCCACATTGGTGGGAGGAAAGCGCTCTCACCACTGTGGCATCCCTGCTCCCCAAAGAAAAAGATCCTACCGAATCTGCATGAGGATCCTGCTACAAATCTTTGACAATCTTTATCAAAATTCCACAAGGATCTACGAAGATCTGTGTTGAAGTAACCTGACTTTTGATCTTGAAACTCAAATTTGTGGACAATTTCTGTTTTCATTGCAGTAAATAATGTGAAATGCCAGTTTTGTGACATGACCTGCCCAAATGCTTCTGCTTTAAAACAACACATCAAATTCAGGCATTCAGCAGAAAGACCTTTTAAATGTGATGTGTGCAGTTATACGTGAGTATCCTTAAACAGCCTGAAACTGCTGACAGTATTCAGTCAAGTCAATGTTTTTCAAGAAATTACTTCTTTGGCTGAAATATTTCACTGATTGTCTTCTGAATCTAGTGTTTCTCTTTTTAGCTGTAAAATGCAGTCAGACCTAAGACGGCATCGTGAATTCCACAATGCAGTTTTAGCATATCACTGTGATGTGGAGGGATGTAACTTCTCTGCCCGAGCCATGCAAACAGTGAAAAGACATCAGAAAGTTGATCACCAGGTTAGGAATTACAGTTCTCATAATTCATCAAGTTTCAACAAAGGAAACCATAATTGCAATGGTGTTTGGATATCTGAATTTAATTAGCGTAGATTTTTACAATTTTATTTCTCTGTTTTCTCTTAAGTTTTAGTTTTGATTGAGAGGATATATCAAACACTCAAGACAGTGTTTGACCATATTTCCAAACACCTTGAAGTTTGTCAAAAATACTCCACCATGCACGGTATTTCAACTTTCTTCTCGAAGTTTGAGATGTACATGTAGTCAAACACGGTCTTTCATGTTTGATATATCACTTGCACCCCTATTAAGAAGCCAGCTATTGAGCGGCCACCCCCTAAAATTTTGAGATATGTGTTCAGCGGGTTAGGAGAAAGGTTGTCGCATGGAAGTGTCAAGCCTACACAACAAGACTGAATGGTAGTTTGGGTATTCATTTGAATTTTGTGTATCAGTCTGGAGGAAATTTATAAATTTGTATTTTTGCATGTGAAATATTAACATGTGAAGTTTAAAAAATCTTAGAAAAGAAAAGAAAAAGCAAAAAACACCTTGGTTCACAAAGTCTGAAGAAAAAGAAAACCTAAGAAATGTTTGTCATGCTTTTATATCTGAATAAGTATTCAGCACGGTCTAACTTTCGGGGTTGTTGTGTGCACTTTTACACTTTATTCTGACAACCTTTCTCGAAACAGCTGTATTGTTTGAAGGACTACTCTCCATCCCTTATGCACTCAATATGTTACATGTATGGTGCTTTAAAAACCTTGCAGTCCAATGATACTAGCCGGTAATCTATAGTCAGTTTTTTTATTTTAAATTTTTGATGTGTAAACTCTTGCTGTTTTTCCAGGGCATTGATGTGAACCGATACGAGTGCCATGTCTGTGGACAGCGGTATACAAGAGGTTCAGGGCTTACAAACCATCTGAAGAAAAAGCACAGTTTCAGCTGGCCAGCTGGTCACCCCAGGTTTAGGTTAGTTCACTGAGCATTGCTTAAAAATATTGAAAACAGGTGCCATGATAAGATCATACAAAAGTACTGGTTGATAGCTTTTTGAATGGTCACACACTATGGTTTTGTCTCTCAATTTAAAAGTTCAGACCACCTTGTTCAGCATAATACACAATTCCCTATGAAGGTGACTTATTCTGCAAGCAAGATCTCTGCTCGATGTAGTGTAGCTTCCATTTCAGTGTTCAGACATTAGGTATTAATCCAGGGTTTGAACCACCTGGTACAGTGTAATAAACATTGCCACATGAATGTGCTGCTCAATAGCTTTCATTTGAATGGTCATGAACTATGGTTTCGCATTGTAAAAAAGTTGCTAATATGTGTGATTTTATTGTAATTTCAAAGTTATGGCAGTATAGCTATATGTAGTGTTCTTTCAGTTGCATTCTTGTTTGCATTTATTTAAGGTACAAAGAGTGTGACGATGGCATTTGTCGACTACAAACTGTGCGCTTTGAAAGTCTACATTTATCACAGTTGCTCAATGAACAAGAGGGTGAAGAG